ATTAAGGCCAGACCAAACTCCGCTCAAGGTCATCTCCACGTTCACATGTAGGACACCTCTGCTTCTCCCGCAGACGCAGGCTGAAGGAGATGGGGCTCACTTAACCTTGAACCTGAGGGGACAGCCTTGTTCCGTTACGATGTCACTGTCTTCTACCAGGTGGGAGGAGTAATTTGCCTAAGGCCACACAGAGTGGTCAGGGGCTCTGACCATTGGCCAAAGTGTAGGACATGATGGCTTCTCATTCAGAGCCTGTGAGTCTGAATGAAGAATCCCCCCTGAATGAGACGGACTGATTCCCTTTTGCCTTCAGGAATCACCTGAGCTCGTTCACCAAGTCCCTCGGATGTGAGCACTGAATGCCCAAGACTGATGCTCAAGATAAGACGGATGAGGGTTCCTAACCTGGAGGCCGAAGAGGGGCTTCGGAGACCCCCTGAAGGTGCGCACAAGCTGTATGTGCACATTTTTTTTGTATGTACACGCCTCTGGGGAAAGGGTCTCTGTTTTTTATCAGATATCAAAAGGGTCCAAGAGCCTCTAACAGTGAGGAAACGTGAGGAAAAGGCAGTGCCCTGACGAGGTTTTGCTTTTGGCTAGGCAGGGAGAACCATGTATGCTTTAACTCCACGAACCCCAGCAGGGTGCAGGTGGAATGGGGCACCCACTGGGCCCAAGCCCACTCCATCCCCAACCGGGCAGAGGAAGAACGTGGTCCTGAGGAAGGAAGCCCAGCTCTTGTTTATCCCTCATCGTGGATGAGCTTGGACAAGACAGTTGGACCTCTCTGGGCCTCAGGGTTTCCTTCTGTGAAGTGGCAGAAAAGGGTTTTGGTTTGCCTAAAAATTGGCAAATAGGGCTCACAAAGTGCTTGGAAATGGTTTCCATACATGAGGAACCATCACTGCTCTTTGGCAACCCAGAACATTCACAGGCTCCCATAGAAGCGAAAAGCCTAGCCTGTCAGAATGTGATCCTGGACAAAGGACGGTTCCAGGAGGACCCTCAGGGAGCCAGGCTCCCCGGCCTCAGTATTTCCAGTTCAGCTGTGAATCAGAGCTAAGCTGGAACCAGTCACAACTGCATTTCCCGGCTGAGGCCTCAGATCTCACAAGCTCCTCGTTCAAGGTCAGCAGGCACCCTAAAGTCATCTGGAGGAACCCCTGGCTCAGACTTGAATGTCCTCTGGCTCATCCCTCCTGGGTCAGCTCCAACACTCCAAAGTGCTTTCTAATGAGTCAAAAATCCACCTTCCCAACTCTACCCCTTGGGTACCCCAAAATTAGCTCTTCCCCTGGATGGCCTTTTACACTTGTGAGTATCTGAAAATGGCCTCTTGTTTCCCTCGGGCAAAACATCTCCTACTTTCTGGCAGTTCAACTTTTTCAGAACTCAGAAAGTGAGTTCTGCGTCCTCAGAGGCACTGGAGAATCTCTTTGTGATGCTTCCCAGCTCACATTAGCCAGCGGAGCAGGTTACACATAAGCTCAATTTCTATTTACAGTCGGACTCATACAAGGAGTAGAAAAAACCCAAATGGGTAAAAGCTAAGACAAAGAAAGGCCACAAGAAGAGGCAAAGGGGATTCAGAAGGTCAGTGGTGGGCATGGGCCAGAGCCCGGGGTCCTGACTCTTCACTTCTTTCTGAAAGACACTCCACTGGGATCATACACTGGTGGGCGGAAATGCCGTGGCCCTGGAGGAGCTGAGAACTCTGGACTCGGGCACTCCCACTGCAGCCCACAAGGGATGGGTGTTCTGGAGAAGCCTCTTTCTAGAGAAATCCAGGCTGCACTTTTAGGATGTGTGAGTTGAGGTGGCAAATTTATGTCATAAACATGAAGGCCCGGCTGGGGGAGGGGAGCCCTCGCTGCACCCCTCGGAAACTCCTGACCCTGGCAGTGAAACCTGCGACTCTTGGATTCCGTTTCTGACCTGCCAGAGCATCCCATTCTCTGGACACGAACAGGACACGGAACCGCCTGGGTTCCTGTGGATCCCCGCCCAGGAACACAGCTTTGTAAACGCTCTAGGAGGAGAGACTCCCTGGGGGCCAGAGGTGATGCCCAGGCTGAGCCACGAGAGTAGCAGCGGCACCGACTGGTCCCCTCTCGGCCTCTCCCTGGAGACAGTTCCCAGATCTCGGCACCTCGGAGCGAAGCCACAGGCCCGCAGGACCTGAGGCCAGGCGTGGCGCTCCTGCTTTTGGAATCCAAGTCAACACCAGGTCTAACCAGGAGCCTGCGACCAAGGGCCAGCACCCGGGCAGACAGGAGCCCAGGAACCATCGTGCCAACAAACCCAGCCTGGGCCCGAAGAGCCTGTGCTGCTGGGTGAGCGGCCAGGGGCCCCTGGGCAGAGGTCATCGCAAACACGTTTGGGAAAGGAAGCCAGTGCCCAAACACGCCATCATGGGGTACCTGCCCCCCAGTCTCCCTCCACCCTTCTCTTCGAGGGTGGGCAGGAGTCAGGCAGGGGAGGTACCCAGGCTGGCAGGTCACACTTCTCTGCCGACCCCTGTCATGTATGGCCACTCCACAGCTCTCAGAAACCCCCGTCTGCGGACGCGGGCCGGGTCCCCGGACACCTCAGCTCTGCCCAAGCCTTCCTCAGCCCCACATGCCCAGCCCAGCCCTCTCGGAAATGCAGGCCGCAGCCACTACTGCAGCTCAGCTCAAACACCCAGGGAGCTCATCTTCCCCTTTTTTGAGGCAGATTTTAACTCCTCCCCACCACTGCCCTGGCGCTGAAAGGCTTACACTTGCCCACCTCGGTCTTGATGACCCAAAGCCCTCAGAGCCACTCTCCCCTGTGTCCCCAGAGTGGACCTGCCCCTCCACCTCCAACTCATCCTCTGGGTCCGAAGCACCTCCTCCTGCCCTGCAACTTCCGGGCCAGGCGGGGACTCCGAGCTCCCTTTAGGATGCAGTGCGTCCTCCCCGGACCCCCAGCTGGACGCCACGGTCGGGGAGCGGTTCCCCGTGGAGAAGGAGTCTGGGCTGGAGCCCAGGGCCTCTGCTGATTCCACTCCCCCCAGGGATCCCCCCCCCCCACCCCCCTCAATAGCACCGGGGCTTCCTCTTCCGGCCAGGAGGGGTTAACCCCCCGGGGTGGGGCCGGGCCGGCCCGGGCCCCCTCCCCCAGCCTCGCGGGCATCCGTCCTGCGACCCTCCGCGCGCCGCACGGGCAGACCCTGCACTTTCGCCCCGTCATGCGCCAGGGTGCGGGTGCCGGAGGGGGCCCGTCTCCGCGGGCGGCGGTCCCTCTGGCCTCGTGACACCCTCGGCGCCGCCGGTCCTGGGGCCCGGGCCGCGTCCCCTCGTCCCCCGCCCCTGCGCCCGGCCGTGCCATCCCGGCCCAGGCGCGCGCCGCCGGGTCCCCAGGGCCGTGCTAGGCCCCGCGCGCCCGGGTCCGCGCCTCCACGCCGGCGCCAGCCGTGCCGGCCACGCCAGGCGGCGACCCGCTCGGCTGGGCGCGGCGGGGACCTGAGGCCCGGCCGGCCGGCGCCCCGTACCGCGATCACGTTGACGAAGGTGGTCTTGCCCGAGTACTGCAGCCCGACCAGCGTGAGCTCCATCTCCTCCTTCCAGAAGAGGGCCTTGAACCAGTCCAGCAGCTTGTTGAACAAAGCGATCATGGTCGCTGCGCCGGCCGCGCCCGGTGCCGGCTCCCCGCCGCCCCTCGTGCCCTCGCGCTGCGGCCGGAGCGGCCCCTCCCCGGTGCGGCCCGGCTCCGGACTCGGTGCGGGCGGAGGCTCGGCTGGAGCGCGCGGCCGCCGACGACTCGCTGCCGGATCGGCGCGCCGATGGGTGTGGCCTCCGCGCGTCCTTCTCCTCCCGGTCGCCGTCCTCCTCGCAGTCGTCCTCCTCCTCGTCCTCTTCCTCCGCCCGCGCGGCCGCCGGCCCTGCTCGCCCCCGAGCGGGCGCGCTCCTCCTGGCCGGGCCGGGCGGGCCGGGCTGCGGGTACGCTGGGCGGGGCGCCCGCGGCCTTCGGGGCGGGCCGGGCTGCTGTGCGCTAGGGGCCCTTGGGGAAAGAGCTCCGATTGTTTTTCGCCTTCCCGGGTTGCCGTGCCCCGATTGGCACCCGCTTCCTTCTTACAGGGCGGTGGGCCTGAGGTGGGCGAGGGCCCCGTTGAGCGGGACCATTTCCAGGGTGGAGGAGGGTGGTCCGTGGCTTCCCAGGACGCGGGGACGATGTCTCTAAGATCTTTTGTTCCCTGAGTCCTTGCCTCTGAGCATCTCTGGGTACCAGAGCCCCAGTGGAGGGGAACATCCACCTGTGAGGCCTCATTAACCACGGGGTACCAGGGCCACTTGCTTAGAAAGCCTCTGGCCCAAAGTGACTTTTACTGGGACCACCATGATACTAAAGAGAGAGAGTCCTGCGGGGGGTTTCCCGTGAGGGAGGTTTGTGGCAAATGAAAAAAGTTGGCCTGTTTTGGTAAAAACCAAAGTTTTCTTCAGGAGAGCTGGCGGTAGGAGGTGTGGGGCTTGCAGAGATGCTGGTCCTGGGAGGACCCAACCTCGGGGCTGCTGGACCCCCTGAGCCCACACCCCGCTTTGGGCGTGCCTTCCTACTTGGCCTCCACAGGCACTCACGTGGCGTCTGTGGTTTTAGTCAAAGGTGCGTAAAGTTTCAATATCAACCATATCTGCCAAGCCCAGCCGAGCTGACCCCAAATGATCAGTTACCACAGTGGAGGAATCACAAAGTCCTGGCCCCGTGCGATATCCTGGGTTATTAAATTATTAACCTACATGGTCTTTCTAGTCCTTGCCCTTTGTGAGTCCCTCTCTAGCGCCTAAGGAACACCTCTGCCCGTCTCCCAGACTGACTCCAGTGTCACTTTGTTTCACGTGGCCCTGGAAGGGCTGTAAAAGTGCACGTCTGGGGTAAAGGTCAGCAGCCTGTTCTTGGCCTGTGGATTCTCCCTCTCTCTACTGATGTAAAGAGGCTCCAGAGGCCTGAGAGGAAGAGGGAAAGAAGGAATGACTCAGTCATCCGCGAAATCTTTATTTTCCCACCTGGTCACTCTTCAGAGCCTGTCCTCAAGCTCTGGGACAGGGTTGGGGTAACAGCACCCAGGGAGGGGAGCCTGCCACCTGTGCGGTGGCTTTCCTCCTGTGGGGTCTGAGCTCAGGGAGGACCAGGCGCCTGACGGCCCAGCACCCAGCGCCCCGGGCCCCGGGAGTGCCTCTCATAGGGCAGGAAAGCTCCAGGAGGGTGTGAGCCCATTCCCAGGCGGTGAGGAAGGAGGAGACCAGCAGAAGCATGAGGAAGTCATCCTCGGTTCCAACGCTGCATGTTTTCCAAAACCGCTGTCTGAGGGAAAGGCCAGCTGTTCTCCGGGACCCAGCTCCTTGGGGGGTTCCTCGGAGAACTGGCCCCGGCAAAGGCAGCCCCCAGGGGCCAAACACCTGGAAGGATGGTGCCTGCCTTCACCCCATGGGCAGCCCATCTCGGATTCAAGGATGAAGGATTTGGACGCCTCCCTGGGGTGTGGTGGTCAGCCCTGACATAGAGCTGGGGGGCCCTGGACATCGTGTGGGTGTGAGGTGCGGAAGGGAGTTAGCTCTCCGGGGTAGACTACGGGGGGTCCGGGTTCAGCCTGAGCCCCTGGGTCCACGTAGGTGCTTTAACCCGGGTCGCTCATGGCAACAGCCAGCCGTCCAGGTGTGCTCTGCAGGGAGGAGGCCATGGCGGGGCTGCTTGTCTAAAGTCAGGCAGTGCCCTCGGCTCCCTGCTCGTCTCTTGTGTCCTCCCTGGGTACTCGGAGTCCCTTCTGGGGTGCGAAGGCAGGCAGAAGATGCTGGGCCTCCCTGGAGAGTAGCTGGGGTGGGTGGCCGGCAGTTACGGAGGCAGGGGCAGCCGTCTGGGCCTCCAAGGGGTCCACACACTTTCCCTCTTCTAGAGAGTTCAACTGTCCCACCAGGTCAGCTCCATAGCCTGCTCCCCGGACACTCGTGTGGGCACAGGGGCAGTCTGGTCCCTGCTGTCTTTGGGGGGTGTCCAGCCTCACGGATGTGGGTGAAGAGGCAGAGTCCCTGCTAGGATGCTGAAGACTTGGCCCAGGTAGCACCAGGCTTTTCCCAGCTCAGGTCATCGGCCTGTTCTCGGGCTGGGCCAGGGTGGGGGGTGATCTTGGGGTCACTCTCTTGCCAGCCCCAGGAAGGGGGTGCAGCTGGAGTGGCTTCTAGGTGCTCCTCTGGTGGTTCTCCCCCGGTGGCAGTAAAGCACCTGATGTCCATGTCCGAGGAGGAGACTGAGGCTCACGCGGCGTTGCAGGGACCAGGATGCCTGGGCCTCTTTCCCAGCTCTTGTAAAGGTCAGCCGCCAGCTTTAAGCTCAGAGGGACATGGGGGGCCTCTGCAGGGAGCAGGGGAGTGGGCAGTGCTGAAGAACAGTGTCTAGCCCTGTCCTCACCGTCCAGCTTCCTGTGACCCCAGACACACCCCGAGGGGCACCCTGTTCCCATGCCCACTCAGGGGGTTCCCCAGGTCACAAGGCCCACTTTCCCAAACCCACCTTCCCAGGCCCAGGGAGGCGGCCCTGCGCGGGGGAGGGTGCCAGGGTCAGGGGCTGGGCTCCTCTGGCAGCTGGGCGGCATACAAGGCCAAGGTGTGGTGCAGGAATTCGTACTGCTCCGCGGTCTGGATCATGCCCCCCCTGCGGGGAGAGGTGCACAGGCCGTGAACGGCAGTCTGGAGGAGAGAGCCTGACCTTCCCGAAGGCCTGTCGGGCTCCTCCTTCCAGGTGCATCCTCTCTGCAGCGGACCCCTCCCGCTGCACCCTCCCCAGCCCGCGGTGGGGGGTAGGAGGGGCCCCATGCCGGCAGGCGTCTTCTCTGACCCTTCAGCCCCTGAGTCCCCAGGCTGGGCCAGGAACATTCCTGACCCCAAGATTTCCTCTTCCCGGTAATCTTAGAAGTAATAATTCTATATATGTGTGTAGTAGGCACTCGTGTTCCCCAGATACTTTCACATCAGTTAACTCATTCCTTATAGCAGCTCTCTGGGGAAAGGGCCATTGTGTCTCTCTAGATAAAGAAATGGGGACCCAGGGAAGCACAGTGACAGCTCAGTTAGATGCACCCTGGTCCTCTCTCTCCAAATCCAGTGAGCTTCTGTGCATCGCCTATGGCCGCCTAGTTTCTAGAACCAACCGTATTCTTTCCCCCCACCTTTCCCCTGAGTAGGGAATTTGGAAAAACAGAGACAAGAAACAGAAGAGATTGAAAGCTCGGGTAAATCCATAGGGTGGCCTATTTAACTCTAGACGCACCACCTCTGCCCCCCGCCCCGCCCCCCGCCAGAGAGCTAAAATTCTAGATGGAGATGCTCGCCAGGGTGTGAGCTGCAAAAGAACAGCTCTTTAAGCGAAAGGGGCCCCTTCCTCTCCCACAGGAAGTGCCTGGTGGTGAAGGGCCCCGCTCAGTCCGCAGACCCACCTGTCCAGCCGCAGCTGGCACACAATGCCCAGAATGTCCACTTCCCCTAGGGCCTTCAGCTGTTGGCAGCCGATGCGGGTGGCGATGAAGCAGCCAGTCCGGCCGATCCCTGCGCTGGGTCCAGGGGTCCAGGGAGGGGGCGGGGAGGTCACAGGGGGCCGGGTGGGTGGGGAACAGAAGGGAAATAGGGATGCCTCCATGGGGCGGGGGGCGGCCACGGGGGCGTCTGCATCCCTCGCTGGCCTCCCCCTAAAGCCGGTCCGGGTCGCCCTCGGGTCCCTGTGGACGTTTTGAGGAGCTCCCTCCTGCTTGGTGTGGGGGCAGCAGCTTCCTGCTGACGGTGCCTAGGCTGGGCTGGATGACCCCGCGGAACGTCCGTCCCTAACCATGCTGCGTCCTCACAGCTGCTGGCGCCCGGCCCCCTTGCCCGCCTCGGTCCTGCCCACAGTCCTGTCCCTTCTGCTCTGTCCTGCCCTTAACTTCCTCCCTTCTTCAGGAAGTCTTCCCCTGTGAGTCCGGGACCTCCCAGCACTGCGTCTGGGTGCACCTGCGGGAGGGGTTTCCCAACCCCTCTGCCTGTGCTTTTGGCCGCTGTGTTCCAGTTAGAATGTGCATCCCGAATGCTTTCCTTATTTTAAGTCTGTCCCCTGCATCACTCCACTTCTTACCCTGTGGCCTAAGTATTCTTTGTAACTGGCAAATCCAGTTTTCCGAGCCAGTCCCGTGAGGCCCCTCGTCACTTATCTTCCAGGCTTTTTCATCCTTGCCCCCTTCCCATGTGACTCCGGCCCCTACTCGCTGACTCTGCTCCCAGCATCATGTCAGTTTCTAAACTGCACCTCCGGGCCTTTGCACGTGCTGCTCCATCTGCCTGGCATGCTTCCCCACCCCGCCCCCAACATCTTCGCTTGGCTAATTCACCTTTCAGGTCTTAGCTTGGCTTAGAGGTCATTTCTCCCGGAAGATGTTCTCTGGCCAAAGCCTGGGCTGGGCGACTTCGTTCTGTGCCCCCCCACCATTATGTTGTCGCCATGCTGCGTCCCGTTCGTTTCGTTGGCTGTCTTTCCCACCAGACCATAAAACTTGGCAGAAACCAAACCGTCTTGTTCACAGCTGTCTCATCTAACTCTGTGCCTGGCAATACCAGGTTTTCAGTAAACATTCATGAGTGAATAAATGCGTTTCCTGACAGCGGGGATCATGTTCGTCTCCTGCCTCCGCAGACTGGGAGCTGCCTCTCCGGACTGTGCCTGGGTGTCCAGCCCACACGTCCAGGTTGTGCAGCCAGAGGGAAGGACAGAGCACTTGCTGAATGACCTAGAGATTCCTGTCCAAGTAAGACCTGGGCCTGCTCTGCTTAGACTCCTTCCCAGGAGGGGCCCAGCGGGGAGGAAGGGCTTCCGGGGGAGGGGGCACATACCTGCAGTGGACCACGATGGGCCCAGTGTTGGCAGCTGTCTCTGGGCTGTCCTCCACCTCGGCCACCAGGCGCAGCAGGGGCCCAGCCGACTCTGGGGTCTGGTGGTCAGGCCAGGCCGAGAAGAGGATGTGCTTCACTGACCTGCGCTCTTCCTGGTGCTGGGTGGGGACAAGGCATGAGAACAGGGCACAGCACGAGGGCATCGCCCGTCCCCTTCCCTGGTGCTGGGGCTGGAGGGAGCCGGAGCAGAAGACGCCAGCCTGGTCCCATTCATTTTGCTCCACTGCTCCCTCCTGGGACACCTCTGGGGAGGGCGGAAAGACCCAGGTTCCAGTCCTGGCTCTGCCTCCAGCCAGCACGTGACTTTGGGTGAGTCCCTTGACCTCACTCTCCTCACCTTGAAAATGGGACCATGATGCTCGGGGAATAGAGAAACGCTTTGGAGAGCAGAAGACGCTACACAATAACAGATGCGTTTTTAGGCACTTTTACAAGTTATTAAGCATCTTGTCAAACGGCCCGCGGTTCCTCCAGCAGTGACTCCAGGACCCCGCCCCCTCCTCCGGGCGCTTGGCACAGACCGCTGGGCCTTCCTGGCGGTTCCCACATGGATCGTTGGCGCTGCCCTACTGGACTAGAGGCTCCCTGAGGGCAGCACCCACATCCCTCTTCTGGTCCCAAGCAGCTCTTTACATGTGGCTTCAAGCAGGTTTCCCTGAGTAAACCGGTGCCTCCCAGGGAAGCTCCAGAGAGTGAGGGTGGCCCGACTTCCCTGTGGACCAGAGGGCGGTACCTGGATGGTAAGCTGCCTCACGGCGTACTCCGGGCGCTCTCTCACGTCCTGGACCTGGATGCGGAAGGGCCCGTAGGTCTCCTCCTCCGTGGGCCAGTAGTGGACACACTTCTGGGGGGAGGGAGCCGGGAGTCAGGGGCCAGGGCAGAGATGGGAGCGGGGACCCCCCCCCCCACCACCTGCGGCATTTCCACCCCGCTGCGAGGGCTGGGCTGTCCTGAATTTGACACCTGCAGATAAAGTGCCCCTCCCACCCCTGCTTCTGGCTGGGGCTGGCCTCCCTGCCAAGTGTCTCAGGAACTGACAGGTGTCCTCAGCTCCCAGGGGAGGCCCCTGCCCGCAGCTGCCCCAGCAGGGGTGTGCTGCAGACATGGGTGCAGCCTGTCCGTCTGGGTTCACCAGGGACTGCGCCTCAGCCTCCTACCTCCTTGCCCTCTCGGAGCTGTGTCAGCATGACGATGAGGGATGTCTCCTCCTGCCACACCATCTCCCAGAAGTCTGACACGGTGTTGGGCATAGGGCCCTGGGTGGCGATGTAGGCCTTGTCCTTCCCACCGTATCCCTGCAGGCGGAGGAGGCCGGGGAAGGGTGGGCGGTGAGGCCAGGGCCCTGGGGTGGCCAGACCTGCAGGTGCCGGACTCAGGCTGCAGCCAGGGACCGTGCAGCCCGGACACACATGTCACAGACACACACACCAGACGCCACACGGTGGACACGACACGGGCTCTGAGAGAGAGCATCCGGGTTCCAACCCCTGTTCCGCTCACTGCCTGTGCAGCCGAGAGCGAGTTTCCCAGCTTCTGGCCTGTAAACGGGGTGTAATGGCCATCCAGCAGCACGTGGTGCAGACCAAACTCTACGAAGTGTGTTGGGTTGAGTCTAGCATCTTTCAGGGCCTCTGTGAATGTCCCCTTCCTCCCCTGCTGCTTTCTATTGAATACTAGCGCAAAAGGCGAAGAAACAGTTCAGTATTTATTGAGCGCATATTTCCCTACGTGCTACTTTGTGCGTTTAGCAGCGAGGCGTAGCACACTCCTGCCAGCCTTTTCTCTCCCTTTCAGGGGCCTCAGCTTCTTGCTCCTCAGGGGACGGTGAAATCCAGACTCCCCAGACTCCCCATCACCGGGCCGCGTTCCCCCCGCCCCCCCCACCCCAGTCGGCCCCGGGTGCGGGCTGTTCACCGGGGCACCCGGCCGCGGTCCCACCCACTCTGAGCCGCTAGAGGGCGCAGTCTGCACCTGCCGCCTCCCACCCCTGCGGGCTGACGCTGGGGATGGAGTCCAGCTGGCCTCCCCGCCTCCCGGCTCCTTGACTGAATCCGTCTCCACGAAGGAGGGGCTGCCTGGAGCAGCGAAGGCCAGAGGGGAGGGAGCCTGCCGAGCGCCCCCAGCTGGCGCTGCACCTTCCGTGCAGACCTGGGAGCCGCAGGCTGGGCCTGGCCCGAGCCGCCCTCTGCGCTGTGAGGCTGGCAGGGGCGGCGGGACGGGGTGCGCCCAGGAGACCGGGGTCTTCCTTCCGGCGTCTGACGTCTGCTCTGTGCTCCCGCCTGGCGTCCTGGCCTGTTTGCGCCGGCTTGGCTCGGAATGGCTGTGGCAGCCGTGGTTCGGAGCTGGGACACCAGGTGCCCCAACCACCAGCCGTGCTAGGCGGTGTCCTGGGGGTTCTCTGGACACAGCCCCCCCCCTTCTCCGACGGCGACTCACCCGGATGTAGTTGGCGTTGATATAATCTCCGTCCTCCCGGCTCTGCGCCCGGCCCAGACAGACGCGGCTCTGGGGGTCTAGGAAGTAAAAATCAGCAGAGGCCACAGGTCAAAAGGTGACCAGCGAAGCAAACTCACGCAGGGCCAGAGAGAGGAGTCCTGTGCTTGTCACGGCACCTGCGAATAGCAGGTGGCCGATACCTATGGCATTATTTCTTATGCACGCAGAAGGGAGCCACAGAATGTTCCTGACCAACAGTGGGCCATGGTCAAAGAAGTAACTGGGAAAGTTCCCTGGCTGGTGCTGGGCAGGATGGACAAGTGAGGAGAGGGCCTTTACTGAACGACATTCTAGTTTGGAGATCAGTGAGGCGCAGAACAGGGTCATAGCAATACAAATGGAAAAAGAGATATTGTCTCCTGAGAGGCCGGACTGGAACTGAGGCTTCATTCCACCCCCAGGGCGAGTCAGCCTGGCCGTCCGTCTAAGGGGGCCTTTCTCCAACTCCAGTCCAAGCCGGATGAAGAAGCAGGCTCCCCAGGGCCAGCTGGTCTGGACGGAGGGTGCCTCGGGGCCAGGAGCAGGGCAGTCCCCCTTCCTTGAGTGCTAACAGCCCCTGGACTGGCCCAGGCAGGCAGAGGGCTGTGGCCTCCAGACTGGGGGTTCCTGGAGGTGGCCTGGCCAGACAAGGGTGCTCTGAGCGGAGCGGGAGGGGAGAGTGTCCCCAGGCCTCGTGCTCAGAGGGCCTGTGCCTGCCTCTGAAAGACAGGAGGCGCTGACCCCGGGACCCCCATCTGCAGCCTCCTCACTGCGTCCATCTGAGGTCCTCCAGGCCCCTCTCGGGGAGCCATCCTGATGGGGCCTCTCCCCCCGCAGACCTGTGTGGGCCCTTTCCCACGTGGGAAGAAGAGGAGGAAGGAGGTTTGGTGCAACTGGCTGTGTGACCTCCAGCAAGTTACACAACTTCTCTGTGACCTGGTTTCCTCATTTGTAAAATGGGGATAAGAACACCATAGACCGGCTTCCTGGGGTCACACTGAGCAGTGCTGGCCTAGCATCATCCTGGTTGTGGTTACTTGCTCCCCTTCCCCGGCCAGGCCCGGATGTGGGCATTCCTCTGCCGGAAGAAGAGCCTCTGTGTACGGCAGCTCTCTCCTGGCTGAGGCTGTGTTCTGCCTTCTGAACACCTCCAGCCCCAGGCCCCTGCCGCAGTCCTTACTTGGCAAGATGGTCTTGTATCGGTCCTTGGAGGCATGGCCAGGAATATCCAGGTCTTCAGGGCTGACAAAGTTTGAGGGGATCTTCTGGCGGGGGGAGGGAGCAAGTGAACAGCCACCCCCCTTCCAGCCTCCTCTCCCTCCACCTTTCCTAGTAGAGCTGGGACCCAGCTGTTCCCTCCTGGCATCAGGACGCAGGTCTAGATGTGGCGGAGGGCAGAGGAGGGAGGCTGGGCGGGTTCCTTCCTGGAGACCCCGGGGTTCTCTCTCCCAGGGGCCCAAAGGGGACAGGCCCGCAGGCCAGGGTAGAGTGGTGCCAGCTGGCTCTCCTGATTCAGAAGGGCAGTGACACGGAGGGGACCCCACATTCTTACCAAGAATTCCTCTTCCAGCTGCTTGGGGCTGGGTGGCTGGTGCTGCAGGGCCCTGCGGGTGAGGGGGCGCCCGGCTGTGCGCAGAAAGTGCAGGGTGACCTCCTGGGGCGTGCGCACCGAGCAGATGGGCTCCACGGTCCCCAGGGACCGCACATCCAGCATCAGAGCCACATTGGAGCCGCGCCTGCAGCACAGACAGCCAGTGCCCCGTGAGCCCACGCGCGCCAGCCTCTGACGGTTATGATTGTTACGGGCACCTCTGGGGGGCGGCTCCTTGTCTCCCCTTGCCCCAGAGGCCCCGGGCCCTGTGCACCTCCGCCCCTTGTCAGCCAGAGCTGGTGCCCCCACTTCCCGTTCCCGGCCCGGCCCCTAAAGCTCTGACCAGCATCCAGGCCTGGAGGCCCCGGCCCCCTCCAGGGGTGCTCAACCTGACCTGGGGCTTGGTGCGCAGGTGCGAGGCTGACGCAGAGCTTGTGCCCCAGACAGGTAAAAGGCATGCAAATGACATGCAAATGAGCACATCTGGTTTCCTTTTCCTGGAGAGGTGGCGAGGGTCCCACAGGAGGGAAGCCCCTCCCGGAAAAGGTCTCACCTCTCCTGCAGGCGCACGTGCTTCTTGGCTGGCGCCTGGTCAGGTGGAAGCTGGGTCATGGCTGCCCTCAGGGGAAGGGGTGGCCGGTGGCTGTGCTCTGGAGTGCCCCCTGTGGGCCTGGACCATGCTCGGGGTGGGGGTGGGTGGGTGGGTGGGGGCTGGGCCCAGGGGAGGCTCACTGGGCCATGACCTTTGACCTCTGAGCTGCCGGGCCGGCCAGAGGAGGCTCCCAGGCCCAGGCCGGCTTTCTGCTCTCTGGCACCTCTGTTTTCACTGGGGTGTCTTCCGTTCCCCAGGAAGAGGCGGTGTTTTCACCCTGGGAAGACCAGGATCTCTGCAGGGGCACCCAGGAGGCGGCAGCCTGTGTTTAGAGTAAGGGCAAGATGAAGGGTAGAGACTGTGGGTGAAGATAGGAAGGAATCGGGGGGCGGGGCGGGGCGGGGTGCTGCCCCAGCCCCACGCTGGAGGCCAGGTCAGGGAGGGCGAGGGGGGAATACAGCGGTTCTGGATGGAAGAAAGGCTCACACACACCCTTTCTGGGTGTATGGGGGCCTCCTCTGGACGAGAAAGTGGAGGCCTCCTGCAGCCTTGGAGCCAGCCAGGGCCCCGGGCGTGCAGGCTGCTGGCACTTGCAGCCCCAGGGGCATCCTGGCTCCTGGGGTCTCTGTCCAATGACGGAGGCTGGGGGTGTTTCCTTCCTCCTCTGCCCATCCCCCCCCAGCCCGCCTCGGTCGGTAACCGTCACAGGAAATGGCCTCACCAAGCCCTTGAGCGACAGCGCACATGGGGAGGCAACAGCTGGGGGCACAAGAGGGGGCACAGAGGTGGTGGTGGGCCCTCCCCTGGGGTACGGTCCCCATCTTCCAGACCAGAGTCCCAGCTTCCGAGTCCGGGAGGGGCTGTGGGGTCACCGCGCCCGCAGGGGCCGAGCGGGCAGAGAGGCTCTCGCAGTAGGAGGGCCTCGTCCGCCTCTTCTCTCCCTTGGGGGCCCTGCCCGGCCCTCGGGGACGTCAGGGGGTCAGCACCCGCGCCCCAGCCGGGCGCCGTGGCCCCGGGCACCCTCCTGTTCATGCCCCCCCAGACGCCCTCCCGTGTCTCCCCAGGTTCGCACAGCCCTGGCCCGCGGGGCTCCTCCCCGGCCCGCTCAGGTACGTACTGAAGCAGCTGTGTCCCCCAGCGCCTCTCGCCAGCTGTCTGTCTGTCTGTTGGCCTGTCTTTGAGGGCTGAGAAGGCTTCAGGAAGCCAGCTTCCTCCCTCCGCCCCTCCTCGCTGCCACCCACGCACGCCCCAGCTGCCTGCTGCCACCACCAGGGGTCGGCGGCCTCCCGCCTCTGCCCCTGTGGGGGCCGCTGGCCTGTCCCGGCACCTTTGCCACGGGCCCGGCCCTGCTCGCTGGGAATGGCCGAGGCTCTGGGCCGTTCTTGACCACCCGGCCCCCTCCTCCAGGGCATCTCCTCCAGGTCCTGGGCGCGTCCAGCCTCCGCCTGCTCGTGGGGCAGGGCCGAGCCAAGCCTAGCTCCAGGCTGCCCTGCAGAGGCCCGGGTACTCCGGCTCCCACGGACCTCGGCTGGAGACTGATTTCCACTTCTTTGCTTCTGCCTCGGAGCCTCGCCCTGGAAGCCCTTGCCCCTTCAAGCTGCGGGAATCATGCCAGGCACAAACAGAAGTGGGCACAGACTGGGTGGGGCAAGGGGAGGCAGGAGTTCTTGCTTCCCAAGGGGCCAGGCTCAAGGGTCATCCCAGGCCCTGAGTCTCACCCCGGCAGCCAGCCGCCTCTGGGCTGAGCCAGGCCAGCTGCCCTGGGAGTCGGTACTGAAGACAGCTTGGAGGGTAGGAGGGTCTCGGGGCTTTTCCCGTCCCCAGGCCCCCCCAGGCCTCCTCCCAGAGCCCTGACGTCTACTCAGAGACCCACGGAGAGCAGACAGCCTCTGGCTGTCACACCAGGGGACCCCCCCCCCACTGTGTCTTCTTTGCCGCTGGGGCGCCTGAAGCCTGGGCCTGGAAGGGGGGTGCCCAAGTCCAAGACCCCAATGGCCCACCTCTGCCTCACCAGCGGGCCTCCTGTTGGCTCCCTGCTCGGCTCCTGTCACCTTGAAACAGTCCCCACACCCTCTGCTCCTGGCGCCCACAATCCCATCCTTCCCCTTCCACCCACTTCTCTGATTCAGCCGTCCATCAAAGGGTGACAGCAAAAACGCACTGACGTACAACAGGCCCGGGGGTGGGCACGCAGGAGGGGGCGCTGGGGAAGGGCTGGCCTCCAGGTGGAGAACAGGATGGCCCTCTGGGGCTCGGGAGGTCCAGAGCTGAGGAAGCACTCGGCTCTGGTGCCCAGACGGGGAGGAGGGGGCAGGAGCCTGGGTGGACCTGTGGAGTGTGACCTCCGCCTCAGCTGACCCTCAACCCCACTCGTGTTTCCACTAGTGGATGGCGGGGGCCTGGGGATCAAAAGGGGGGCAGGAGGGGATTGGAAAGAGGGCCACCCACTCTGGGGCAAGCTGTTGATTGTTATCGAGAACAGGAAGCTAGGGTACCGCAGGAGTGGGGAGGAGGAAGCGGGTGAAGCCCTCCCCAAACTGCTCTGCCTACGCCCCCAGGCTCTTAGGGTCTGAGCCCTCTGGCTGTGAGCACGCCTCCCTCCCAGGTTTGAGAAGCCGGAGGTTGAGCTCTTGGGTGGAGAGCAAGGAAGCTGGGGGCCAGGAAATGGGGAAGGGGGGTGGGGGGCGGGTAGTGGTTGGGCGTTAGGCAAGACCCCGAGGGTCTCTCAGCTCCCTTTAGGTGTGTTTGGGGTAGGTGGATAGTCACCTTGCCTCCTGCCCACCCCTTGCCCCTTTCCACTCAGAAACGCCTGGACATCTTTGGAGGTGCAAACACAGCTGCGGGGCGGGGGGTGGCACTGCCACAGGCCTCAGAGAGGACAGAGCCCTGCAACAGCCCCGCAGCCTGGCCTGGGGGCCGGGGGTCCCCGCTGTGCCCTGTCTGGGGTGGACTCTGCCCCATCCAGGCTGCTGGGAGCACATGAAGGCCTGTATGCCCCAGGAGTGACTCCTGTCCCTGAGCCCCCCCCACCCCCGCTCCTGGCGTGAGCCTGCCCCCAACAGCTCTCGGGCCGCTCACTCCAACTGCTGACTTGCATCCAGAGCTGGGTCTGGGGTGCAGGAAGCCAGGAAGACCCCGCTGAGCCCTTGCTGAGACTGGGGAGTTGCTGCTCCTCCCTGAGGCTCGGGCTCCTTCTCAGGATTGCCCACCCCAGGGGCCGAGGATCGCCCCTCCCACATCGGTGAGAAGGTGGAACCGGGAGCTCAGAGCTGTCAGCTGGAGAAGCGGCTCTGGGAGGGCCAAGGGCGCCGGAACTGTCCCCCTCCTCACTGCTCCCTTTCCCCACCTGGCCTTCACGCACTGGGGCGCACTGTCCCCCTGCAGCCGCTCCCCAGTCCCACAGCTGTGAGCCCCAGGGTCCAGAGCCCCCCAGAGGGGCCGGTGTACCGGGAATTCCCACAGGCACTTGTTCCTGCCGCACCTGCTCACCCCGGGGTCAAAGGCTGCCACTGATAAAAGCCCCGAGGCAGGGGTCTCGGGGACTGGGCCAGCTGCGGGGGCTCTGCACCCGGCCACGTCCTGCTCCCCTCCCCGCCTTCCTCTCCGCTCCTCTCCGGAGAAGCCCTGATCCCGGCACCCCACGCACAGCCCTCAGATCCTGGGCCAGCCTGGGCGGCTTCCATTCCGCGTGTCCCTGGCTGTGTAGGGGAGACAGAGACACAGAGAGCTGGGATCCGCGCGGAGGACGCTGCAGAGAGCCCGGCTGGGAGGGCTGGTGGGAGGTGCGGAGTGGCTCTGGGTGCCCCCCAGACACCCAGCCCCCACCCGACCCAGTTTCCTGACACCTCTGGGTGCCGGCTGGTGCAGGGGACTTTCCATACTTTTCAAGCCCCTGGCTGAAGGACCCGCGTGTAGGCTGGCCCAGCCGCCCTGGGACTCCCGGGAAGAGCCCTGTTCTTCGCTGGAACTCAGGCCCCTGTAGGAGGACTTCAGGACAGAACAGAGTTCTCTCCCTCCCAAGCCCAGAGCCAGCGAAATGGACATGTGTTCCCCAACGTGGCCTTTCTCTCCAGAGGCCTTCCTGCTCCCGCCCCACCCGGCGCCCGCCGCCTTGATGTCCCTGGATGCCACCCGTGCACGTGCACCCGGGCAGGTGTGTGCACCCTCGTGGCTCACGAGTGTTGCCTGCGTACACTGTCAGGCCACATACATGGCCAGGCTGCCGGCACGCACACCCCCTCGCCCCACGCAACAACCTGGTCAGACGGACCCAGGCCTATCCCCTCCCTGGGGACCTTTGCCGGGGCGTGGGAGATGCCCAAGGCCAGGCTTCAGCGGTGGGAGCGGAAGGGGTGCCAGAAGAGGGAGGGCTGCCGGGCAGCAGTGGGGAGACGGGCTGGTTCGCACTCGGGAGCCAGGAGGCCTGGACCTGTCCCCTGTCCGCCGCTGCCTCTGGCTGGCTCTCTCCAGAAGGAATCAGTAAGGTGCTCGAGGGCTCTCTAGGTGGAGGATGTGGCTTTGTCTGTGGGAGTGGCTGCTGGGGGGAGACACAGCCCTTGTGGTGCTTCTTGGCTGAATGGAGAGGCTTGGGTTGGGGAGACTGCTTCTATCGTCAGGACCTTCCTGCACCCTCTCCAGACTGCCCCTGCTCCCCAGCCCAAGGCTGCCCCAGTCTGGCTGGGGGTTGACAGATGTGCCCCTATGGCCAGGTGCCTCAGCCAGGCCCCGTCCATAGGACTAGCTGTGGGACCCCCTTTTCTGGGAAGTCTTGGGAACAGTCTGAGACCTCACCGCTTACCTAAAGCCGTGCCCTGCTGTACCTCTTCTACTTAGATTCCAAATTAGGGTGTTTCCACCCCACTTCTCCAGCCTCTGCAGGTTCACCAAAGTGAGGTGCCCAGGTGAGAGGGAGGGCCAAAGGTGCAGTGTTTCCCCCTCCTCTTGGCCAGACTGGCCCCAGATCAGTTTCCCTAGTTGTTCCCCACCCCCAGCCCTTTTGAAAGAGCGTATGTGCGCGCGCGCGCACACACACACACACACACACACACACACGTGTGCGCGCGCGCGGCCTGGAAAATCTGATGAGGCTGCAGTGCTGAGTTTCCAGGCCCCCATCCAGAGGCCGGTGAGCAGCCCTGAGGTTTGGGGCTGGGCAGAGCGGGGACGGGCAGGTAGCCCCCAGCTCTGGCCGGGGCTGGTCCCTGTGCAGGCCCGCGCTCCCTGCCAGACAGCCTGAGAGAAGGGTCCTCAGGAAGCCAGTTAGCTGTTCAGACTTTATGTACCTACCTGCCTGTTTGCTGGGCGTCCGCCTCCCCACCTTCGAGCCCGCTCCGGGGCCCAGAGCTGCTTCCTTTCCTCCATCTCCCTTTCCTCCTTTCCCCGCGTCAGCTGCCTTGGGGTGGCGGCTCCGGGGGAGTGCTTCCAGGTGAGTTGTTGGCTCCAGCCTGTGGGGGGCCTGACCTCCGGGAGGCTGCCCGGGCCTTCGCAGGCCTGAGGCCAGGTGGGGGCGGGGTCTAGGTAGAGGGGGTGGGGCGGGGAGGGGTCTAGGTAGAGGGGGTGGGGCGGGGGCGGGGCGGGGGGGGGAGGCAAGCACGCATCCTAGGGGGCCGGGAGCAGGAGCTGGAGGTCCCAGGTTCAAGCCCAGCTCCCCTCCTCACGCTGGGGCCTGGGCTCTTCCCTCCCTGGATATTTCTTCCTTATCTGGGGGGCAAGGGTGTGAAACCAGAGGGCTCTTCTAGACCTACCATCACTGGGACTCAAGGTTTTTGGGACAGACGTGCGCCTGTGTATGTCCACAAGCGACGCACACGCATAGCTGGTCCATCCACCCAGCACCCAGCCACACACACCCCCACCACGTCACCAGGACCCCTCTGCACAGGAACACAAAGGCCCGGTCCACCTCTGCGCGTGGAGGGTCAGACACCCCCTCCTCTCCCGGGGGGCGTGGCGTCGGGGACCCAGCTGTCTCTGCCCACCCGCAAGGCCGTCTCTCCTCTGGGTCTGGGTCTCGAGGGACAGTTTCCTGCCTGGAAAGCCAACAGCTGGAAGAGGGTGGAGCTGGGGGTGCAGGGGGAGGTGAGCTTGCCTGCAGCCTGGGGGCCGCAGCCCTGTGCCCCTGACAGGGCCCTGCTGGCACAGGGTCTGGGCTGGGGAGGGAGTGCCTCGCTCTCCGCCCGCTGACCAAGGGGAGGGTGGGGATGGGCTCCTCCTGCTACCGCCCAGCTCTCCCTGCAGACTCAGCCGGGATGGGGTCCCCATTCCTGCGCGCGGTCCTCCTGTGGCTCCCAGGCTTCCTGACCGAGGTGAGGTGCGCCCCTGCTCTCCAGGGCATCCAGGCCTCCCCCCGCCCCATGGCCCCACGGCTGGGCTGCATTAAGCAGGGCAGGGGAGGCTCCTTCCCACCCCCTTGACAGGACAGCAGGACGGTCTGCTTCTGGTCCCAGGGCCTCTGCACCTCGGTGTCCTGCGGTGATGCCCTTCGGCCATGTCTGCGGAAGCCAGACGAGAGGACAGCCTTTTCTCTGGTCCTGGCTGGAGCCCAGAGCCTCTGCCCATCTCTTCCCACACCCTTGCCCCCTCCCTACAGGAAGACAAGTGCCCCTCCCTGGAAGGGGGTCCACTCGGGGAGAGTGGAGGTAGGTGCCTTCCATGGCGAGGGGGCTGGGCAAGGCTGTTTCTCTGCCCAGACCCCGCCTCTGCTCTGGCCCTTCCGGCCTCTCCTCCTCCTCTGGGGCAGAAGGTGTTGGGAGACTCTGACCCAGCCCTTCTCCCCCGGACCGCCTCTGAGGGTGAATGTCAGCGTCCAGGGGAGGTCTGCCAGCCACACCCTCTGCCTCAGCCGCCTGACCCCCCTGGGGTCCCCGGAAGAGCAGCCATTCCGGGCCCACACCAACGCGTCCAGCTTTGAGTTCCAGGACCTGGTGCCGGGAAGTCGCTACCAGCTGGAGGCGACAGCCCTGCGCCCCTGAGGGCAGAACACCACTGTCATCCGCACTGCCCACACAGGTGCATGGCCTGCGGGCAGGGGAGGGGCCGAGCAGGGTGTGGCTGCCCTGGAGGGTTGGCAGGGGGCAGAGTGGCCAGAGACGGTGAGGTCTCTGAGGACCACGCCTGCTGCAGTGACTCGTCAGGGGCACTAGAAGCAGAGGTGATGCCCCGGCCCTGAACTTGGTGCCTCTCTCTGCCTCTGATGCAGCCCTGTTGACGGTCCAGGACCTGCAGCTCCGTAGCTCGGGGAGCCCGTCCCGCCTGGAGGCCTTGCGGGGCGCTGCCCCCGGGGGGCAGAATGGCTACCAGATTCTCTTCTACCACCTGGAGTCACAGACATTGGCTCACAATGTGTCCGCGTCCCCGGGCACCCTGTCCGACAATTCTAGTGACCTCTTACCCGGCAGCGAGCACGCTCTGGAGGTTCCCACCTGGGCTGCCGACCTCCAAGCGAAGCCCAGCATCCATCAGTGGACAGGTAAGGCCAGCGCTCGGCAAGGCCCCAGGGGGCGGCTGGTCTGGGAGTGGGGGGCCGTCCAGAGCCGCGTCCCGTGACTGGGCTCCTGGGCTGCTGCTGCTGGGGCGGTGCCCGGGCCCCGCGTCGGGCCCTCTCTCCAGCCCGGCTGTGCTCTCCCCACCCTTTCTCCAGTGCCTGTGCCTCCAGCTCAGCTGACGCTGCGTGCGCCAGGTGCCAGTGCCCTGCAGGCCTCCTGGAATGGCTCTGGGGGCGCCGCCTGGCTGCGTCTCGTGCTCACAGACCTCTTCGGCGACTCCAACCTGACGGCGGGGGTCACACGGGGCATCTCCAGTCACACCTTCCCTCGCCTCTCTCCGGGAACCCCCTATGAGCTGACACTCAGCGCTGTTGCCGGGCCCCATCTGGCAGCAGGGCCCAACGCCACCGAGTGGGCTGGTGCGTGCTGGGTGGGTAAGGGGTCGCCGCAGAGGCTCTTCAGTCAAGCAGGCAGGAGCCAGCTGGTGGGGTGGGCTTCCAGGAGTCCTGCAGGGAAGGGGTGAGGCCTGCCTGGAGGGGGTGCCCTCCTGCAGGCTGGTGGCAGGAGTCCGCCTGCCCCCCCCCTCCCCCCCACAGGCGACGATGCTGGTGACACTTACCAGCACCGGCAGCGTCCATGTGCCAGCCCCGTGCCAGGCACTTCTGTGTGTCACCTCGTTTATCCCCCAGAACAGCCCCTTAAGTTGTGTTATCTCCGTACGGTGGAGGGACCGAGGTTCAGAGAGAGAAGGACCAGGTCCCGAGGCTTAGGAGTGTCCAGCTAGGCTGAGCCCGCGGGGACTTTGCTGCACTTTTGCTCAGGGAAGTGCTGTCTCACTGCCGCTCGCTGGCTGTGGGTCTCGGGCAAAGTGCTGACCCTCTCTGTGCTTCAGCCTCTGTATCTTAAAGCAGAATGATGATGGCAGCCTTGTGAGGAGTGTGAGGTCTGGCACCGGATGTGTTATCGTTTGTCACCACATCCTCGGCCGGGTCCCAGGACTCACCCAGAATATGGCTCAGGGTCACTGCCAGCGCCTGGATGAGGCCTGGTCCAGGGCGTGCGGGAAGAAGCTGACACGGGGGTCCAGGACCTTCTGCACGTGTGTCTCCCTTCCCCACAGATCCCTCAGTAACCCCTGGACCTGGTACTCGCTCCCCGGCCCCCAGAGCTCTGGGCCACCTGGAAGGCAGGGCCGGGGGCCCGGGATGGCTACCTGCTCAGGCTAAGTGGGCCGGTGGAGAAGACCATCACGCTGGGCCCCGGGCCCTTAATGCCACGTTCCCGGGGCCCCTGCCCGCTGGACACTACGCTCTAGAGCTGAGGGTTCTGGCCGGGCCCTATGACGCCTAGGCCCAGGCCAGTGCCTGGCTGGAGGGGAGTCTGTGCTGGCGGGGTACAGGCTGGGGTCCTGCCCAGGGGCACCTGCATCAGGAGACGTGTGAGTCCTCACTCTCCAGGGACCACACCTTCTCCAGATGCTGCAGCCCAGCACCGGAAAGGCAATGGTACCGAGCTGCCCCGGACGGGCTGGAGGCCGGCAGGGAGCCTGGGACCCAGGTACTGCCCTACACCCAGGGAGCCCCCAGCCTCCTCAGAAACATCGCTGGGCCACCTGGTGCCACCCAGGTCACTCTCCAGGGACATGGGGCCCACTACCAGGGGACAGTGGACACTGTCCCCTCTCCAGGCAACACCCCCCTGAGCACCATAAGTCACACAGGTGAGTGCCAGCCACTGCGGACCCTGGTCTGGGGCTGGGGGGCTTTGCCTCGGGGTGGAGATCTGGGTGGGGACATCACAGCGCCACAGACATTGCAGGGTTCCCTTACAAAACCGCTCCTCTCTCCAGGGCCCCTGGCACCGCAGTCGCTGGAGGTCATCGGCAGGGGCAGCCCCTCTGACTTGACCGTTGGCTGGGCCCCAGCACCAGGGCAGCGGGAAGCCTACAGGGTCGGCTGGCGCCAGGAGGGCAGCCAGAGCTCTCTGGGCGGTCTTGTCGCCCTGGGCCCCGATACTTCCGGCCTGACGCTGAGGGGCCCCGTGCCCGGCTCCTGCTACACCATGTGGGTGTGGGAGTGGGCAGAGGGCCAGCGCCTGCCCCCGTGAGTTCCCGGCTGTGGGCCCTGGGTGGCCAGCCTGGGCGGTGGCGGTGGGGACCAACGTCCTTCACACGCCGCCCTCTGTGTGCCGTGTTCCTGGCTCAGAAGCCGTGCATCCATCCAAGGTGGGGCCGCTCATGAATCTGTTTGCAAGCATTCTCCACCTCCTGCCATCTGGTCGGCCATCCATCCATCCATCCGTCCATCCATCCTTCCAACAAATATTTAATGAATGCCTCCCATTTCTAGGTATGGGGTTAGGCGCTAAAGCTAACAATTATGAAGAAGACCATCTAGAAAGGAAGGCTGCCGGGTAAACAGATGGTTTATGTGTCTGTTAAAGTAATGCGTATTGGTTCATACATCACAGCGTAAACGTAGATGCACAGAGAAGAATACACACGATGTATTTGAACCATTTGAAGCTCTGTTCTCACAGGTTAAAACTGAGGACTGTGGGGAATTGTATGTGGTTCTGGCTAATCTTTCAGGGTTTACAGAAGGGCCACCTTAGAGAGTCAGGGAAGGGTTCCCAGAGGAAGGAGGTGGGCCGAGAAGCGTGTGTGTCTGAGTAGGGTGGGCAGAGAGGGGCCTTAGCAAGGGGCAAGTGTGGACCCAGGCCCTCAGGTTGGGGTGAGAGAGAGAGAGAGGGAGGGAGAGAAACAGAGGGAGAGGGGGGGAGGGAGAGAGGAAGAGAGACAGAGAGAGATTGGGAGGTGGGGGCCAAACGTCAGTGGCTGAGCTGGAGGCCCGTGTCCCGGGTGTGAGACACAGGCGCTGGGTGCTGGCAGGGACCAGGTGGACCAGACGTCACCTTCCAGGAGCTGGTGGTCTGGGAAGCAGGTGGGGCGCAGGCGTCAGGGCGGAGACCGTGTCATCCAAGAGGTTTTCCTGGGAGGGAAGGAAGGAGCGGGCTGGAGCCTGGTGGCTAGCTGTGCCTGGAGACCAGCGAGCAGGGCACAGACGACGCAGCAGGAGGGGCGGCGCTGGGTTGTTCCAAATCCGTTTCTTCCTGTCCTCAGTCCCTGCGCCTCCCGCCAACCTGAGCCTGGGCCTGGCCGCCCAGCCCCCTGCCCTGCGGGCTGTCTGCAGCACCCCCCACCCCCCTGTCGGGGGCAGGAACAGCTTCCTCCTGTGGCTGTACCACCTGAGCCCCCTGGCTCTGGAGGGTGAGGAGACCCTGACCCCCAAGGCACAGACTTCTCCTGGGCCCAGCCGGCTCCGGGCACCGAGTTCCTGGCGTGGCTGTCCACCCTGCAGGGGCCGGACAAGAGCAGCGGCACCAGTGCCACAGGCTGGACACGTGAGTGCCGCCCGCATGGCCCTGCCTTGCTCAGTGGGTCCCAGGGGCTGCACGGCGCCCTTACCTCCCTGTGGTCTGTGAGCAGGCTGCTGGGTTGACGACGGTTGCTCCCTCGGGCACCAGGACACCCCTCGCCCTGGCCGAGAGTCCCCGGGGCCTGGCCCTTCTGGCACCAGGAAGGCGGGCAGAACCTGGGCTTTGCTCCCGGGCGGTGGCATGGGCTGGGCCCTCGAGCTCTCTCATGACCAGAGACGGGGAGGTGGGGACTGGGTGGACCAGAGGACCGGCTGCCAGGCCCCCAGGGCCCCTTGCTCGGTGTTCTCTCACTTAAACGACATCCGGGAGGCCTCCATCTCACGGAGGAAGAAGCCAAACACAGGGCAGGCTCTCAGTCCTCAGTGGGGCGTCGGGGTTCGTGTGCGGGCAGTATGGCCCAGGGTCCATGCTCCTGGCCACGTACCAACCCCAGAGAGAAGGGGGGGTGGGGGGCCCCAGGAAGGGTCACAGTTCCTGAAGTACAGGACGGGTCACACGGTGAGGCCCAGAGGCCCAGAGCCGGGAGGCTGGGCCAGGAAGCCCCTCCCAGAGGCCCGAGGCCTGCTCGGTGGAGCCGGGCAACAGTGGGGTCTCCTTGTCCAGCGTCATCCTTCTCCAGTGTGGTGGCCCACACTGCCCGCCCTGCCCTCCCGACCCCTCCCAGGACCCTGAGACCTCGGACCGGCCAGGGAGGGGTGGGAAAGCTCCAGCCAGGGGCTCTAACTGGCTCAGACCCGGATCGGGCCTGTGCCTCTTTGAGCCTCAGTTTACAAAGGAGGGGTCCACCAGGTGACCCCAGGCCCTGGGCCCAAGGGGAGGGTGGAGGGGCCCCGCCTGGACCCCAGACACTGCCTGCCCTTTAACCTATCCACCCACTCGGGGGGCTGTCAGAGCTGGGGCTGGGCCCGGAAAAGGCTCTGCGTGTAACCCCCTGGCCGCCCCGTCTGGCTGGGAGAGCGGTGGTCGATGTGCTCACTCAGCATGGCCGGGGCTCGTGCTCTGCTGTCTGGGGAAGTCAGGAGGTGGTCTGCCTCCCCACGGGTAGAATCTCCTCTCACTGGTCCCCTGAACCGGTGTTTCGCGACTGGGCCAAGGGTGGTGGGCCAAGGGTGGAGGGCCAAGTGGGGCCCTTTCGGAGGAAGGGGCCATGATCGGGGCTGTGCTCTTCACCCCGCGCTAGAGCTGCCCTCAGCAAGTCCCCAGTCCCCGCACGGGGGCCTAAACCGCAGGCGTCCCCAGTTCCGAGGCCACAGGTCTGAGACCCAGGCTGGCAGAGTCCTCGGTGAGTGGACGGCTGTCCCTCAGTGTCTGCGTTCCAGCCCCTCTGGGTCAGGGCCCACACCGATGACCTTTTACCTTCCTCACCTCTTTAGGGACCGAATCTCCAAATACAGTCACGCTATGAGATCCTGAGGGTCTGGACTTCAACTTGGATTTTGGGGGACACAGTTCAGGCCATGACACCTCCCTTCTCTCCCCCCGACCCTGTTGTCCCCTCAGCCCCCCTCGCCCCCCCTCTCGTAAGTGTGGCCAGTGAAGGCCCCACCCAGCCCCGGGCATCCTGGGTCCACACGCCGTGGGGCCGGGACAGCTACCAGGGGACCCTGTACCAGGCAGGTGTCCCGGTGGGCTCCAGCCCTGTGGGGGCCCAGGTGGACAGTGCCAGTTTCTCAGCTCTGACTCCGGGCACTGAGTACGAGGTGCAGGTGGTCGCACAAGCCGGGCCCCTCCATGTGGCAACAGCCGGCGCCTCCGGCTGGATCTGTGAGCGGCATTGGAATGGCCGGGGGAGGAGCAGTGGGCAGGGCCGCCCCTGGACCCCTGCTCCCTCCCTTGGTGGCACCGCTGCCCCCCAGTCGCCCGTCCCACCTGCACCACGAGGGCCCTGTGTGGGGTCACAGGCGTCCTGCTCTCCTCCCCACAGCCTCACTGGTGCCCATCAAGCTGCTGGTGTCCATGCAGGCGGGCAGTGCTGTGGTCAGCCTGGCCTGGGCCAGCGGCCGCCTGGGGCACGGAGTGTGCCGCACTCAACCTCTCCCTGTCCGTGCTGTGCCAGGCGGGGCCGCTCCAGGCCTCCACGCACCTGGTGCTGCTGCCCGTGGGTACGTCGGTGTCTGTCAGGGGGAACAGAGCACCCTGACCGCTGCCCATCCTGTCCCAGCCCTGCTCGTCTGGGTGTGTGCCGTGCCCACCCGCCCTCGGGATGCCCCTCGCTCTCCAGATGGGCGTCAGGTCCCGAGGAGACCTTATTTCTCCCTGTGGCCGCTGCCCCTTTCCAGGGACAGAAATGCCTGGTCCCTCTGCGCCTCTGATTTTGACCACCTCTTGGGCTGCGCTGACTCCCACGCGATGTGGAACACTTGAACCCGCAGAGCCCGACCCAGTGGAGGACGTGCGGTGCCAGCCCGAGGTCACCCGCATGGCTCTGGCCTGGATGGTGCCCAAGGGGGACGTGGACACGTGTCCGGTGGTGGCGGAGCAGCTGGCAGCAGGAGGGGACGCCCACCTTGTCTTCCAGGCCAACACCTCTGGGGATGCCCTCCTGCTGTCCCGCCTGCAGCCCGCCACGTCCTACCGCCTCAGCCTCTCCGTGCGGGGCAGGAACGGCCCGTGGAGCCGGGAAGTCACCGTGGTGTGTGCCACTGCTGCCGAGGGTAGGCGCCCCCTTGGCCTCAGGCCCCGCTCCCTCAGTCTTCCTCCCCCATCGCCCCCAGCCCCGGCCCCGACCCTGACCCAACGCCACACTCGTTTGACACCCCCTGCGTGGCTTGTGCCCAGCACCCAGCCCAGTTTGGATTCTGTGCGTCCAGTCAGCTGCCATTGCAGGCATGGCCCTGCCCTTGGGGGCTGCTATCAGGGCCTCACTCTCCCCACCCGCCCCCAGCCTGGCACCCCCACCCCCGATCTGGCCGAGGCCCCCAGCTGGAGCCTGAGATGGGGATGGACGTGCTGATATCCCAGGGCATGTTTGGCGAGGATGACGGGCAGATCCAGTGGTATGGCGTCATCGCCACTGCTAACATGCCGCGTGAGTCCCGGCCCAGGCGGGTGGGTGACCCTGGCTACTGCCTGGCAGGGGTGGCGTGGGGCCCAGGCGCTGACACGGGTGAGATGAAATGTCTGAGGCCGGCGGGAGTCTTGGCGCAGGAAGGGGGACTGGGACGTTCTGGCGGAAGGGACTGGTATACTAACGGGGGCGGGCACGTCTAGAACACGGGCAAGCCCCTCTGGCCCCACCCCACTGCCCACCTGCCCCGCCCCCTCCCTGTTCCTCTCCTAGTGGCACGGCCTCCCTGTGAAGCCATCAACCACACCTGATACGACCACCACTATGGGGGATGTGACTCCTACCTGGCCGTCCTGCTCCCCAGCCCCTTCTACCCGGGGCCCTGGGCCGTGCCGACGTCCTGGATGGTGCCTGTGGGAACAGAGGACCGCGGCCAGACCCAGGATGTTTGTAATGGGCAGCTCAAGCCGGGTTCCCACTATTGGTGAGGGCCAAAGCTGAAGGGAGGGGGAGACACTGAAAGTTTCATTGATGGGTTGTTTACACCTGTGTCAACAAAAGAGCTGGGCTGATTCACAGAGAGAAAGCATGTGCTGGTCCAGGAGGGTCAGTAGAGTTATTCTGACTGGGCTTCCTGGTAGGCAAGGCAAAAAGGGGAATGCCCACCTGCCACATGGTTCTTTTCTCAGCAAAGCAGGGGATGGATTCTCTTTCGCTTTGCTAGGGCTATACCGAGGATACCAGGCACCTGTTTCTAGGGCTTCTTGCTCTCAGAATAGGGCAGTGGAGGCAGGAGAGAAGCTGGGAGAGGGTGGAGTTTGCTCTGAAGTCTCAGATGACAGGGCGCCAAGCCCTAAACAGGTGAGGGGGGCTCCTGCTACCTGACCATCTGCTGCCCGTGACTCAGTTTCCTGGGAGGGGCGCAGCCCTCTTTGCCTGCCATGTCCCCCCCCCGCCCCGCAATGGAAGGTCCTGCCCCTCTGTGACAGGTTCAGTGTTGCAGCCTTTACCAGGTACAGCTCTGAGACCCTCATCTCCTTCTCAGCCTTCTCAGGTAGGTGGGCACCCAGCTAGGACTCCAGCTGGGTCCTGGGGTGGGGATTGGTGCTGGGACCTCCCTTCTGAGGCTCAGCTACCAGCAGGGACCTGTCCTGCCTAACAGAGCTAGGAGCCCCAGAGCCAGCGAAGGAGGTGCTCCTGGTGGCAGCCCTGGCCTGGGTGGGCTGGGGGTAGTGGGCAAGACAGGCATTGAGGAAACGGTTTGCTGCTGCTGTGATCGCTCTACCCTCCCGCAAGGCTTCCCTCCGCCATGCTGCTCCCGGTTGGCCACCGTATTCTGGAGCAGTGCTGACCAGTAGAAACATAAGGCAAGCCACAAGTGAGAGCCACATCTGTGGTTCCCAGTAGCTATGTTAAAAAGAGAAAAATAAACAGGTGCAATTAATCTCAACCACATTTTATTTAAACCAAGATATTAAAAATATCATATCAACACGTGATCAACTTTTTAAAATGATTAATGAGAGATTTTACATCCTTTTCTTTTTAATCAGTGAAACTTTGAAATCCTGTGTGTAGCTTATGCTTGCAGCAAATCTGAAATTGGAGCCGCTCCGGTTCAAGTGCTCAGTAGAGTAGCCCAGGGCACGTGGCGACCGTACTGGACAGAGCAGCTCCAGAAGGTGTGGGGCCAGGCCTCCGCCCTCTTGTCCTCAAGGGTGTTGGGTGGGCCCTGCTCAGGAGCTGGGGGCAGGGAGGGCTCACAGGCTGTTCTCGGTGCCCGTCCAGGGTGGTCCCCCTGGCAGCCTTCTCTGGCCTCGGTTCAGCACCTGGGACTTCCTTCTGCAGGGTGAGGGCTGTCACTGAGCCCTCCACCCAGGGGGTCTCGGGCCCAGGGGAGGCTGGTGTGTCTCACGGGGCGGCAGGTCGGGGCTGCCCAGCTCACCCTTCCGTCTCCGTCCACAGAGCCCCGGGCCAGCGGGTCCCGGGCGGCCGTGCCCCTCCCAGCAGCGGTGGGCGTCGCAGCGGGCGGTGGCCTTGCGCTTGGCGCCTTGCTGGGCCTGCTGTTCTGGAGGCGAGTGCAGGGGCGGAGGTGAGTGGCGGGGAGGCCTGGGCCGGCGTGTTGGGGGAGCCCCAGGCTGCCTCCCAGGCCCCGTCACCCTCTGCAGGTCGGAGAAGAACCTGTGCTCCCAGGAGCTGGCGGCTTGCAACCTGCGGTGAGTGTGCGGCCCCTGGCCCGCCCTCCACAGGCTCGGTGATGACGGGGTCTCCCCGGGACTGCGTCCCTCGCCCCCCCAGCCGAGCCCGCCCTCAGCCGCTGTCACACCCTCGTCACCCTGCTCCCAGGGGCCCCCGGCTCCTCCCAGGCCCTCAGCCTCTGCCTCCAGACTCCCGTCCTCTCGGTCCCCGACTGACCACCTGGACGGTTGCGGGCCAAGTCGCTTCCGTCTCCTTCTTTCTCTCCGACGTCGGATTTCGCAATCTTCCCAATATCGCTACTGTTCTTCCTTCTCTCGGCCGCACCCTGAGCGGCGCTGCGAGCAGCTGTGCCCAGAGCCATCCTCAGGACCCGGGGGCGGGGCCTCAGACACTCATGCCCACCTCCTCCGAGTGTGGTCCTGTTTGCCCTGCCCCCTCTCTCTGGCCCCTACGGGCGCCCAGGGCAGGACTCTGCACACCAGGGCCGCCACCTACTCGTCTCTCTTCCCCCAGGTGGACCCACCGACCCATCCCTGCCCACAGCTTCCGACAGGGCTATGAGGCCAAGAGCGCCCGTGCCCACCAGGCTTTCTTTCAGGAGTTCGAGGTGAGGCCTCTGCCGCCCCCAGGCTCTGGGGGGCCCCAGCTGTGCACGACCCCGCCCCCGGTGTGGGGGTGACATGGGTCTGCTTCGGCCCCCGTCTCTGCAGGAGCTGAAGGAGGTGGGCAAGGGGCAGCCTAGGCTGGAGGCCGAGCACCCTGCCGACACCACGAGAACCGCTACCCTCTCGTGCTGCCCTGTGAGCATGGCAGGCAGGGGTGTGCGGGCCGCAGCTCGGCCCGGAGGAGGCGCTGCGTGTGCCCGCCCTGAATGCGCGGCTTTTAGCGTCTGCAGATGACCACTGCCGGGTCAGGCTGACCCCGCTGGATGGAGAGCCTCACTCCAATTACGTCAACACCAGCTTCATCCCGGTAGAGCCGCCTGCGTGCTGGCTGCGGCATCCACTCGGGAGGGGCCCGGTTTGCAGGACACGCTGTCCTGCCCTAGCCGTCCATGAAGACCGCCAGCTTGTGTGTCTTGTGTGTTGGTCGCTGTGCTGGGACCGCAGGAGGCAGGGCTGGGCTACGCGGATTCTCACCTTCAAAGGAGCAGGAGTTGTGTGTGTGTGTGTGTGTGTGTGTGTGTGTGTGTGTGTGACGCCTGCCATGCGGCATGACAGGTGCTGTACTAAGGGCACACGTGTGGTGCTCAGAGCTCATGAAGAAGGAACGTTTAGTCCACCTAGGAATCAAGAAAGGCTTCCTGGAGGAGGGGGCATTTGGTCTCTTGAAGGATGAGCAGAATCCTGATAAGTGATGAAAGAGGGGCAGACATTGCAGCTGGACAGACCCAGAGAAGAGCCGGGTGGGACATGTGGACAGAGTGTGGCGGGGTCATCAGGTGGAGGCAGGAGAAGAAGATGGGGCTGTTGGAGGAGGGACTGAGTGCCGGCCTTGGGGATCTGGGTGGGCAGTGGAGCCCTGGGAGAAATGCAGATGGTGTGTGTCGGGTGGCGAAGGGGTGGCCTGGGGAGGCTACTTCGGGGCCATCAGTGTCTTGTCATCGTCCCATCGAGGTGGGGCTGTCTCCAAGTCACCCTCCTGATTTGGGTCCTTGGTGCACGTGTGTTCACGTGTGTGCACACGTATCGGCCTGCACACGAAGTCCTCACTCCCAGAGATCACCCATGGGATGCATGGCTGTGTGCTGGGGCCCCAGTTAACGTGATCCTGCCCACCCCCAGGGCTACACCCGCCCGCAGGAGTTCATCACCACCCAGGGGCTTCTAAAGAAGACCCTGGAGGACTTCTGGCAGCTGGCGTGGGAGCAGCAGGTCCGGGTCGTTGTCATGCTGACGGTGGGCATGGAGAGTGGGCGGGTGAGCGTGCCACAGCCCCCGGGGTGGCCACCAGGTGGCAGGCTCTCCCCACAGGACCAGCTGTGGGTCTGGGAGGCCAGGTGAGGCCTGGGGGTTGGTGGGGTCCCCAGGCCGCCCAGGATGGGGCAGGGAAGGAGACCAGGAACCCAGGCTCCCAGCTGGACTCGCCTCCATTGCCTCTGCTGTTTCTCACCGAGACCACCCTCTCCTGCTCCGGGCCCAGTCTGCGTCCTTGCTTTAAACATGCCTGTGCCCTGCTCTGTGCGGGGCCCTGGGACAACACCTTTGAGCCCCTCCAGCTGGAGCGGTGAGGCCAGGCCAGGTGGTCCTAAGTAAGGCCATGCAGTTTGCACAGGAGCCCGGCAGCTGCCTGGAAGTCCCAGGGGTCACATAGAGGTCTGGGGATGGAGGTGCTGCGGTCGGGCCGGGGGAGAGAGGCTTCCGGACAAGCAGGGTGACGGAGACAGACGGGTGGGTGGGAGGTGCTGATACAGCAGGGGTGGCAGTGATGGGGGGCCCACACCTGCCCCCCAGCCCCGCTCTGACCCTCTGGCCCTAGGTGCTACGTGAGCACCACTGGCCAGCCGACTCCACCCCTGTCACCCACGGTCGCATCCCCGTCCACCTCCTGGCCGAGGAGCCCGAGGACGAGTGGACCACACGGGACTTCCAGCTGCAGCACGTGCGTACCCGCGAGCGAGGGGTTGTGACTCCTTGGAAGGTTGGCTCACCTCCTGGGCCCCTGGCCGCCCCCTTGCCCAGGAGGTTGGAGGTTAGGGAGGGTAGGGAAGCACAGGGAAGGCTAAGGGTCATCCGAAGTTGGATGAGAAGGGACGGTTTCTGCCCTGCCCTGCGCCCGGCTCAGGGCCCCCGCTCACCCCAGACCCCTGGGCCCCATCCGCCTTCCCAGGCTGTGACCTCCTGGGGCAGCAGTGCCCCCCTCCCCCTTGGGCCCCCTGCAGGCAGACTCCCCGGGAGGCTGGAGGAGCTGAGGGGAGCATCCCAGTGTGGGGGGCACCACCCCGCCCTCAAGATCTGGTGACAGAATGAGGGCTGAGCAGAGGACGGTGGGTTAGGAGGGGACGGAGAAGCAGCTCCTCTGCTCCCCAGCCTCCAGGCTGCCCAGCAACTGTAGTGGACAATGAAGCAGCTGCAGTTCACCACCCGGCCAGACCACAGCGTCCCCGAGACCCCCAGCTCCCTGCTGGCCTTTGTGGACCCCGTTCGGGAGAGGAGTGGGGCCTGTCCTGGTGCAGGCAGGCGGGGCAGGCGGCGGGTGGCAGGGGCGGGCTGGGGAAGGGCCCCGCTTCACAGCCCTGGGCCCTCTGACCCGCAGTGCAGGCGTGGGCCGCTCGGACACCTTTGTGGCCCTGTCAGGGCTGCTGTAGCAGCTGGGGGAGGAGGATACAGTGGTCAAGCCAGAGGCCGAGTGCGTTCTGTCCATCCATGCCAGGGCCTGGTGGGAAACAGGAGCGGGGCTGGGGGGCCCTGTTGGGTGGCTTTCGCGGGGCAGCCCCCAGCCCCGCCCTCCAGTTTCCCCGTTCCTCAGATCTAGTTTCTAGTGTCCGGGGGGCGGCCCTGGATTCAGAGCAGGTTACTCGGGGTGAGGGGGCACAGCCGCTGCCCTGTGCACAGCAGGACCGGCCTGGCCCTGCCCGCCCCCTGCAACCCGGCCTTCCCGTTTCCCGCCGCCGGCGGCAGGCGCGGGGGACTCACTGCTGCATGGCCAGAGCGGCTGGGTTTTCTCTGCCTCCTTCGCTCCACCACAGTGCGGGAGTCTGGGGAGGGAAAACCAGGAGGAGAAGCAGAAAGGAGGGCAGGAGTGCTCACGTGGCGACACCATCACCCACGGCCTCACCAGGGCCCATCCGTCCCCTCATCAACCAGGAGGCCCTGGATGGCTGGCGCCAGCGGCGGGGCCCCAGCTGCTCCCGGTAGAGGGCCTGGGGGACACAGAAAGCCTGCACAAACCAGAGCAGGACGCCCCGAAAGGAGTCAGACCCCGAATCGGGGAGGGGCAGGGCTCTCCTTGGCCGCCCCGAGCTCCTCGTGAAAGGCGAGGGGTCAGAGTGCAGCAGGGCAGGCTCCCCGCTCACCTGGGCCTCCCTGGGCTGGGTCACACCCTCTTCACACTCGTTCCCAGGAGTCGGGGTTGGCCCATGACGACCCTCCAGTAGGCGGGCTGGAGCCTCGCGCTGGGCCCGGGCCCCGCCATGCTGAGGGGGCAGCAGGGCCCCCGCACCAGAGCTGCAAAGGAGCAGGGGGGCCGCAGCGGGTGGGGAGTGAGGCCGGGAACACGGCCGAGTGGGCAGCACCCCTGTGGTCTCTCCGGCCCTCCGTGCACAAGGACCACCCAGGCCTTCCTGGGGGCTCATCTACATCAGGGCCGAGCCCCACGCCCCAGAGGCCAACGGTTGGTTTCCGCCTTCCTGGCCCAGCCGTGCAGCCCCTGGGGCCCGGGAGGTGAGAGCAGTGGCAGAGAATGGGAGGGGGGTGATGAGTGGCCCTGGGCGGGTGACGGTCCTGGATGAAGGGCCACTGGCTGCCCTGAGGCTTTCAGGCTGCCGCTGTACACTCAGGATGGACCGCGTGGGGACAGCAAGGTCAGGAGACGCGGCCGGCTCTCACTCCCCCCTGGGCTTGGCCCGGCGCCGGGATGAGCCCAGCTTCAGCCACCGTCTCTCGCCCTCAAGCCTCCCGCCTGGCCCTTCCAGCCTCAGGCTGGTGGAGCTGCAGCTGCCGGACTGGCCTCCAGGTGGCGCCAGACTGCCGACTCAGGCCGGCCCGGACCGCCAGGTGGGCGCGTCCCCCAGCCGGGCGCCTGGCTCCATCCCGGGAGCAGGGTCCAGGGCTCCCGGGCTCCCACCTGACTGGGGCCGCGTGCAAGACGCTTTGTGAGTGGACGTCACACCTTCTCTAGTGGGGGGCCTGGGGCTCGGCTGGAAGTCTCCTCCTGTAGCCACCCGACCTCCACCCGCCCCGCGGCTCCGGCCCTTCACGGCCCACCTGGCGAGACAACCCCTCGCTCCCCTCCCCAGGAGCCAGGATGCGGCGGGTGACCCCGAGTTGTCCTTCTGGGGCTGCTCCCCCCCCCAAGTGGGTGACCTCGAACAAACAAGGTGCTTCCGGGGCCCTCCTCCGATCCCCTGTGGCCCCGAGGCTGTCCGCTCTGGCACAGGGTCCTGAGCCCGCAGCCCAAACGCCTGCAGGACCCGCTCTCCGCTCTCCGGGTTGTTTGGTTTTTTCTTTCCTGGATGAAATTCCTGCCAGCTCGGAGGGAAGGAGGGAAGGGGAGCGAGAGGCGAGAAAGTTCCCTGGCTCCGCCCTCCCCTGCCAAGCCCAACCCGTGAAACCCAGGAGTGAAGACGGCGCAGCGATGCCTGCTCCTCTCTGACTGTGCGCCACCGGTGCCCGCCGCCCTCCCGGCCGCCGCGATGCCCAGTGCACCCGGGCTCCGCGCCCTCTGGCTCTGCGCCGCACTCTGCGCCTCCCCGTGCGCCCCCCAGCCTGGGCCGCGGCCCGCCTGCCCGGCCCCCTGCCGCTGCCATGAGGACGGCATCATGCTGTCGGCCGACTGCTCTGAGCGCGGGCTCTCGGCGGTGCCGGGGGACCTGGACCCCCTGACGGCTTACCTGTGAGTACCACGCGCTTCTCCCTGAGCCCGCCTGGCTGCGCGCTGGCCGGGCCGGCCTCAGTCTGGGGCACCTGCGCAGCTGGAGCCCCGAGGCCCAGGCATCTCCTGCCCTGTCCTGGACTGCGGGGCCGTGACGGGGAGAACAGTCCCAGGCTGAAGGCCAGGCGAGTGGTGAGGCCGGGCTTCCCTGACCGGTTCCCAGTTGGCCCCTGTCTCGGGGCCTAATGGCGCGAGCCCAGGCTAGGTGAGAGGTGGGTCTCCGGGCCCCGAGCAGAGGGGCCCAGACTGCCGCCCCTTCTCCTCTTGCCGGTTTCTTCTCCTGCAGAGCAGCTCCCAGGGCGGTGGCCCGGGGCTCAGTGGAGGAGAGGGGAGGGGCCCCGTGGGGGGAAAGATTGTCCCCGGCCGGGGCAAGGAGAGCAGAGCAGTCACTCGAGCTGGGTGGCCTTGGTGGGGGTCCCAGAAGCCAGGAGAGGGGACTAAGCCACTCTCGTCTCCTCCAAGATGTCCCTGCTGGCTCCATCTCTCTCCACTGAGGCCTCTGGCTCCCCAGGGGCCTCCCTGAAGTCACGTCCCAAGAGGCCATGTTGGAGACACTAATTTGTGGGCAGTGCCAAGCTGAAAACCAAAGAGCTGTTTTTAGAGTCTGAGTTAGGGTGAGATGGTGTGTGAAGTGGACCCTACTGGGGGCAGCTGCCCCTCAGGGCTTGAGGGCTGGGGGCTCTGGCCTGGCCACCTGGGCAGGAGGAGGGAGTGAGCGCACACTCCAGACCACCTGCCTCCCCCCTGCTCTGGGGAGAGGAAGGCTTCCTGGCTCAGCCCCGCCTGGGCCTCCATGACCTCTTCTCGGAGGAGGAGAGTCTGGGCCATCTGTCCCGGAGGTGGGGTCCCAGAGCTCTGTGGCTTTGGGCTCCAGGGCCTGGGGGCTCTGAGGAAACAGGAGCTAGTTTTTAGAGTCAGGCAAGTATTTGTTGAACTAAATGGGACCAGGGCAGCTCCCCTTTAGCCGTTTTACATGTGTGTGGGTGAAGTGGGTAGGACATTGTCTCATTTGAAGACAGGGTTCTGTGGCTAAAAAGAATTTGGAAATGACTTCTGTGGAGCCTTTCTCTGGGGAAGCAGGAGAAAGTTCCCTTTTCCAGGCTGAGGGGCTCACTGGTCCCACCTCCTTCCCCAGACCCATCCTTTCTCAGGAGGACTTGGGGAAAAGAGGGCAGTGTCGCCATCAGAATCCACGCTGCTGGAGGGTTGCCCCCACCGTCTCGTCACAGTTCCCCGGGCGCTCTCACGTCTGCATTTGGGGTTTTCTGAGCCGACCCTGAGTCTCCCTGGGGCCTGAGAAAGCCCCTCTCTCCCAGGACTCAGCCTGTGCGTCCCAGGGCAGGAGGAAGGGTCCCACGTGGCCTGGGGACCTTAGCAGCAGGCCCTGGAATGTTGGAGGGAGGGGAAGACGCAGGGTCCCCCTTGGCCGCGCAGAGTCTTGTCTGGGTGGTGAGTGGAGTGTCTCTGCAGGGCGGTGGGCCTCCTTTCTCTGCCTCTCTGGAGAGTGGCCCAGGCACAAACGCACCGTGGAAGGGTGGGCGCGAGGGCCGCCCCCTTCCCTCCTCAGCAAAGTGAGGGTATGCCAGTCCAGCCCCAAGTGGCCCAGCTCTGGCCGAGGACGGCCCACACTTTCATTGGATGCTGGGGCCCGCAGGGCCTCTCGTCTGGGCCACCCAAGCCCTGGCCCCTTCCTAGCTCTGCCCCCGACAGAGTCACTCGAGTCCTCTGAGCCTCGGGGTCTTCGTCTGTACGTGGGGACAAGTGGGTGGTGGGCAGGCCAAGTGAGGCGACGTGTCGTGTAAACTCCCCGGCACAGTGCCTGACACATACGAGCAGTGCCTGAACCCTAACACGGGAGGAAATGGCACCCGGGGTGAGCGCAGAACCTAAGGGAACAGGCTGTGGCGGGATGAGGGGAGGCGACCGCGGGGTGCTGGCCTCAGTCAGTGCCTGGCTGCTCCGGGTGGGGCTCGGGGTCCAGCCAGCTGTGAACACTGGGGATGGGGTGGGAGGACATGGAGGAGAAGGTGAAAGGTCAGATGAGAACACGTGGATGTACAGGGGGCGGCCGGTCAGAGGGTGCCCTTGAAGACCTTCAGAAGGTGCCAGAGACAGAGCCGTAGGGGGCACCAAGGAACTTGGGGCTCCAGGAGACACCCAGCCCGTGCAAAGAGCTGCCCACCGCTGCCCCGCTCTCTTGGTCCCACTGCGTCTCTGCTCTGCCCTCACCTGCAAAGACGACACTCCCTCAGGGTCGGACGCCCGGCTGATTGGGTTGAAGGGACTGACGCCAAACACCCACAGGCCCTTGGCGTCTCTCCAACCCGCGGTCTCAGTGAGGCTCGTGGGGACTCATGAGGGTTTGGATGTCCTCCCTGGAACTCACCCGGGAGACACGGACCCCTGGCTCTGGGGCACCCGGAAGGTGGGGCGGCCCTTGCTCTATCCCGTCCCACGTCCGCACAGCGAGGGGACAGAGATATACACGTGTTGTTGGCAATACCCAGGGCTGTCCCTGACTTGGAGAATCTGGGTAGTATTCTGAGTCCCTCCTTTGCCCCCAGAGTTGAGCAGAGACAGGAAGTGGGTGGGGGGGCCGAGCTGCTTGTAAAGGCCTGAGGCTCGTTCGCTTGCACTGACCCTTCAGCACCCATTTCCATCACCTTCTGCCTCCGGGACGAAGGGGGGCCCCCACTCCGCGACCGCCGTCAGGCAGCTTACTGCCTCCTTGGGACCTTACTCCCTGTAAGGCTGCTGTGATGACCGCTGACCTCGATGAAAGGTCAGACGCAGCGTGTGTGTAGATTCTGGGTAGTTTCCATCCTACTCATGACTGCCTGGGGGTGGTGAGACGGAGGCAGGGCGCTGGGGAGAGCGGGGGTCCCAGCACAGGTGCTGGTCACGGCAGAGCAGGACCGCAGTCATCACAAGCTGGTGACCTGGGCCAGTTTCCTCATCTGTAAATGGAGCTCACGCCTGCCTCACAGGGCTGTTGTCTGAATTCACTGAGGCAACGTTTGTAAAGGGTTTGGCACAGTGTCCGGCCCTTGGGAAGAGCCCAGTGTTAGTGGTGTTGTTATTAGGGTGACTGGGGCCAAGAAGTGTTAGTCAGGGAGGTCTTCCTGGAGGAGGAAGTGTGGGGCTAGCACTGTGGGAAGTGCGGGATGGGCGCGTCTGTGTGTTGGAGGATGAGAGAGGAGAGAGTGGCTGCAGGGAGCCGGGAGGAGCCCTCTGGGGCCTGGAGAGGCTTTAGTTTTCTCCTGGCCGGTGTGGACGCAGAGCTTCGAGGGAGGTGAGGCAGCAACGGGTGGGATACCCCAGCCCGCTCCCCAGCGCAGCGGCTGGTCCCTGCAGGGCCTGTCGTCTGAAGAAGCAGAGAAACATGTGGCTCCAGGGAGGAGAGCGGCCTTGCGGGCTGCGTCTGGGAAATCCATGGGCCTCTTCTCATTCTGGACCTCGGAGGCCGCCCTTTCCGGGCCAGGCCTCCGTGTCCTTTTCTAATAGATTCTAAGAGCCTGAGCTTCTCCCCACCCCATAAACTCGGGGTTTGAGTTCTAACCCTCAGCCCGTGCCAGAACATTTCCAGACCACAATGCGCACAGGTTTTGTTGAGAAACAGGGCCGGAGATGCAGGAGAGATCGGCTCTGAGCCTCCTGTCCTGGCACAGGACCTCCCCCGGGGAGAGCGGGGAGGCGCTCCAGGAGGAGGGTCCCCTAGGGACTGGGTGCCAGCCTTTCTATGAAGCAGAGCCGGGGGGGGGGGGGGGGGTTGGCCCATCACGGGGCAGGTCCGGTGGGGGGGTCGCTGGAGGAGGGCGAGCGTGTCGGGGAGCCAACACCCCAGTTCAAAAGAAAGGCAGGAAGCAGCCCCGGGCGAAAGAAAAAGGAAACCTCTGGGCTCCGGCAGCAGCGGTGCGGGCTCAGCGGGTGGGCGGCGGGCAGAGGAGAAGAAAGCCCGGCTTAGAGCAAAGTCACCCGGCCCGCCCTGCCAGCCCCGCCTCTCCCCTTCCGAGGGCTCGACCCGACGGCTTCCGCGCGGACCGTGCCCACCAGGCAGCAGGCAGGGCGGGCACGGTGCCGGGTGCCCGACGGGGAGGCCCTGCAGGAGCCCTGGGCTCCAGTCTCAGCACTTCGGTTTATGGGCTGTGCGTCCTCTGGCCGCCACTCACTCGCTCCAAAGTTTCTCTTTCTTCATGTTGAGAATGGAAACGCCGCCGACAGCATTCACTGGGAAGGGCGGTAGGAGGAGCCACGGGACGAAGGGGCAAAGCCTTGTGTCTGCTTTAAAACGTTGACCATGGGTGCTGTTTTTCTCAACCCTCCACTGCAAAGGACCTACTGAGGCCCAGGAGGGATAACAGAAATGCCTGTGACCGGCGCAGACTTAGGGAGACAGAGTCTAAGTTCTGCAGCCCCATTGGGCTGCCTTTCCTCCCCCCTCCCTCCCCTTCCCCACTTCCCCCCTTCCCCCTTCTTCCCTCCCCTCCCTCCCCCTTCCCCCTCCCCCTCCCTC